CCCCTGAGTGTGGACACAGCCAAAGTGATTGTCAGAGAGGGGAACAACAAATCTTTCTGTTTGGTTTTTCAACTTCATGCGTGTGCACCTGGCGACACAGAGGCACTTCTTATGAGGCCAATGGGATTTTTGTGCCTTCCAGCACTTTTTTCAAAAGGTCATTTTTTTTTTGCACATCATTAATTTTATAGTTTTGTCTGTTTGGATAGGTCTTCTCAGGCAGCAAAGAGAAAACAAACATTAGTTCAGACCCACAAATATTGGCAGAGGGACTCATAGAACTGTAGAGCTGGAAGAGACCTCAGAAGGTCGTCAAGTCCAGCCCCCTGCTCTAAGCAGGACCAATCCCAACTAAATCAACTTGGCCAGGGCTTTGTCAAGCAGAGACTTAAACACCTCTAGGGATGGAGACTTCGCTACTTCCCTAGGGAACCCAGCCCAGTGCTGCCCCACTTGCCTAGGGAAATAGTTTTTCCTAATATCCAACCTAGACCTCCCCACTTCAACTTGAGACCATTGCTCCTTGTTCAGCCATCTGTTACTACTGAGAACGGCCTCTCTCCATCCTCTTTGGAACCTCCCTTCAGGAAGTTGAAGGCTGCTATCAAATCCCCCCTCACTCTTCGCTTCTGCAGGCTAAACAAGCCCAAATCCCTCAGTCTCTCCTCGTAGGTCACGTGCACCAGCCCCTGAATCATTTTGGTTGCTCTCGGCTGGGCCCTCTCCAATCCATCCACATCTTTTCTATAGTAGAAGGCCCAGAACTGGGCTAAACTGGACTCAGGAGTGGGTTTTTTTAAAAACGAATTAAAAGAACTGGTTAGGGTTTGGAAGAAATTTCAGGACAGAAATTTAAAGCTATTGTAGCACATAACTACCACTGATATGAATAGGTTAGACCAGATTTTTTGGGCATCTTTCTATAAACTTGGAAGCAAAAACTTTGTGCTTAAGGATCTGACAAACTCCCTGTGACACCTTAAGGTACGTCTAGACTACATGCCTCTGTCGCCAGAGGCATGTAGATTAGGCTACCAGGCAAAGGCAAATGAAGCCGTGATTTAAATGATCGCGGCTTTATTTAAATTTACATGGCTGCCGCGCTGAGCCGATCAGCTGTCTGTCGGCTCAGCGCAGTAGTCTGGACGCGCGGGGGTCGACATCAAAGGCATTTGTCGGTCACCCAGGGGCATGAGGCATACCTGGATGGTCGACAAATGCCTTTGATGTCGACCCCCGCGCGTCCAGACTACTGCGCTGAGCCGACAGACAGCTGATCGGCTCAGCGCGGCAGCCATGTAAATTTAAATAAAGCCGCGATCATTTAAATCACGGCTTCATTTGCCTTTGCCTGGTAGCCTAATCTACATGCCTCTGGTGACAGAGGCATGTAGTCTAGACGTACCCTTAGGCAGCTCATCTTTCTGGGCCACAGCTCCCCACCTGTAACATGGGGTGGGAGAATAGTGAGGAAGGCACCATTAATGCGCATGAAGCACTCCAATAACTATGGTGATGAGGACCATAGGAGAACCTAAATAGACAAAACCTGGTTTGACCTGACCTGCAGAGACAAGGAACAGCTATCATGTGATTTCTGCACCCGTAGGGTTGAAAACAGACATTGCATGAGTGAAGACTGAGAACTCACCTGCCAGAGGTACTGTGAAAGCTACGATGAGAATAATTATAACTGTAGCTAGGATAAAGTAGACAGCAGGGCTCTTGAAGATCCAAACAGCTCTATTCCCTGAAAGACAGAAAGCCATGAATGTCCTGGGACCACTGGAGGGACCAGAATGCTTGGCACCTCTGAGCGGCCACTGGCCAAACCATTTTATATTTTGATTTCTAAGGGCATTTGAATTCACATTTAGTTTGCAGCTCTCTGAGACATGAATCTATCCTGTCACAGCCTAACAATTTGCATGGATCGTACACACATACAGTAGGGATTGAACCTGTGACCTTAGGGGCTAGAGCCATAAGCTTTTTTACTACATGAGCTAAAAGCTAAAAATGGGCTCTTAGGTAAGGCTGTAGAGCTGACATCACTCGTCCTTTCTCAGGCGTTTCAGTGTCTCTGGGTTGCACATTAATGGTGTGTTAATACGCTTCACTCTAACCCCATTTCTGAGGTCTAACTGTTTGCACACGTCCACATTTCTACATAAACCGGCAAACCAGGAAATGGGATCATAGGAACTCTCTGGCATGAGCAGGTCTCTGCTCTCCAGGCTTAGGCATAACATAACGGCCATAGCGGGGGGTCAGACCAAAGGACCATCAACCCCAGTGTCCTGTCTTGTGACAGTGACCAATGCCAGGTGCCCCAGAGGGAATGAACAAGACAAGGAACCATCAAGTGATCCCTCCCCTGTCACCCATTCCCACTCGCTGAAAAACAGAAGCAAGGACACCCACCCTGGCTAATGCCATTGATAGACCCGCCCTCCATGAATTTATCTGGCTCTTTTTTAAACCTGTAAGAGTCCTGGCCTTCGCAACATCCTCTGGCAAGGAGTTCCACAGGTTGACCGTGTGTTGCACGAAGGAAAACTTCCTTTAGTTTGTTGAGATGTGGCCCTACTGGGTAGCCTGGGTGTCTTTCCCCAACTTGCTACCCCACCGATGAGGCTATTTACCTGGCTTCCTTCCCCCTCTGCAGATAAAAGGGTTCTTCGACTGCTCCGAGTCCTCAGTGGAACTATCTTGCATCCCCATCTCTCAGCAAGGCAACAGGGACTGCACTGGGTTGTGATCTAGTCCTTCTCCTTGTCAGGGCCCGGCCTGCGCTTCACTCAGCAGCACAGGAATGATGTTTCTCCTGGTTGACCTGGAATCCAAGATTATCAGTCAGAAGAATCAGCACAAGCAGAGAGATACAAGCAATGCAATCAAACACCCTCACATTTCATTCACCCTGGGCGACAAATCCCAGGCCTTCTCCTCAGTTCCCTACGCTTGTGACAGGAGCAGGCAATATGTAGAACAGGACTGGGGAATCTTTTTTGGGTTGGGGGCTGCTGACCCACAGAACAATCAGTCAGGGGCCACACACAAGAGAGAAGCAAAAAAACCCCCAAAACCCTCACTGATGTGGCCCCCAACTGAGAAGCAGAAAGACACTCCCCACATTCCCCTCACACACCAGAGGTTAGGGGGATTTTGTGCATGTCAGAGCCATGGGGGGAGGGGGACCTAGAACACTAACATGGACTCCCCAATTCTAGGGAGGGGCCCTGAGCCTCATGGGCCAGATCCAGCTCCCAGAACTTAAGTTCCCCACCCTGATGTAGCTCGTCCGTGCTCTTAAATATCTCCAGGGATGGAGATTCCACAACATCCCTAGGCAATTTATTCCAGTGTTTCACCACCCTGACAGGTAGGAAGTTTTTCCTAATGTCTAACCTAAACTTCCCTTGCTGCAGTTTAAGCCCCTTGCTTCTTGTCCTGTCCTCAGAGGAAACAATTTATCACTCTCCTTTTGATAACAACCTTCTGTGCATTTGAAGACTTACCATGCCCCTACCCCTCGAGTCTTCTCTTCCCCAGAAATGTGCTTCGAGGAATACGGAGAGTAGGGTTATGTTCTGAGGGCCAGGGTGCTTGTGGAAAGCTTTGTGTTTGGGAGGGGTTCACACAGCACTCTCTGTAGGGTGGAGAAGTTGATTTAGTACCCAGCACCCTCCGTCCGTACTGACACCTCTTCCTCAGCCCCACAGGATGGGAAGTGAGCACACACGCAGTTTTTCATGTGATGTGGAATTTGCTACCCACTACCCTCCTCTCCATTCCTCCCCTCCCCCATGGCTTTGTGATGCTAGGACAGGGGTGGGCAAAACACTGCAGGCCCCCCGCCACCATCCCATGGCCGGGAGCCTCCGACAGTCTCCCTGCCTGCCACTCAAACCAACTGGCTGCAGAGGCCATGTGCATCTCTGTGCACTGTGGGAGGGGCCTCTGCGGGCTGCCCCACCCCAGCACAATCTCGCAGCTCTCGTTGGTCAGAAACCAGACAATGGGAGATGCCCAGATGCACTCACCCCCCCCCCCCCGCTCCCCAATCTCCTTTTCAAGTCACAACCCCCTCCCACTCCAGGTCACAATCCAAAACCTCTGCACCCCTCCCTGCACACCCAGACCCTGCACTCTCCTCAAGACATGCCAATCCTCTGCCCCAAGTCCCCACCCTTCCTCCTTCACATAAGAACATAAGAACGGCCGTACTGAGTCAGACCAAAGGTCCATCTAGCCCAGTATCCTGTCTACCGACAGTGGCCAGCACCAGGTGCCCCAGAGAGGGTGGACCGAAGACAATGATCAAGCGATTTGTCTCTTGCCCTCCCTCCCCAGCCTCTGACAAACAGAGGCCAAGGACACCATTTTATCCCCTGGCTAATAGCCTTTTATGGACCTAACCTCCATGAAATTATCTAGCTTCTCTTTAAACTCTATTATAGTCCTAGCCTTCACAGCCTCCTCTGGCAAGGAGTTCCACAGGTTGACTACACGCTGTGTGAAGAAGAACTTTCTTCTATTAGTTTTAAACCTGCTACCTATTAATTTCATTTGGTGTCCTCTAGTTCTTCTATTCACCCCAATCCCCTACCCTGCACTCCCTTCTGCACACAACCTCCGTCCCAGACCCCACAACTCCTGCATTAATATGGAAGAGTGCAGCCCTCGACCACTTCCCAAATTCTTGGAGTGCCCCCCCATCCAAAATTATTGCCCTCCTCTGTGCTAGGAGCATTGGGGGGGCACACACAAGGCTCTGGGAAGGGGGATTTTAGTAGCCAGTTTCCAACCTTTCCTGCACCTGGGAGCTGTGTGTTTGGGAAGAGCGCACTTCCCCCTTGCTGAGCTCGCACTCCCTAGGACTCCAGAGGTTTCACTTTTTGTCTATACACCGGGCTCCGCTCGGCTCCCGGGGTCAGCGCAGCCAACCTCGCCTTTCCAGCGGCCCCGGGCTGCCCCCGGGAGCGTCTCGAGCCACTGGGCAGGGAAAGCGGCTGCAGCTGGCCTGGACCGTCACGTCCCCCTTCCGCCCCTTGCGCCCTCTTCCTTCTGGGGGCCGGGGCCAAGAGGGGGCTGGTTACCGCCCTGCGGGGTTTGGCGGGAGGGGAACGTCCCACGCGGCTGTAACTTTCACTTTCCTTTTCCCTGGTGCGGAAATGCTGCGAGCGGGACCAGCCGCCGTGCCGGGAAGGGAGCGCGCCGCGGCGCCTTTAAGCCAGGGCTGGGAGAAACAAGGGGAACGCGCTGCCGCAGGGAATTGAGCCCCCTACCGCGTCCCTGAGCGGTACAAGTCCCCCGAAGATCATCACACCGCTCAGCGGGACCAAAGAGGTGAGTTAGTTTTGCTTCAAAAAAGGCGCTCGGCTCACAGCCCCTCCCCCTCCGTGTCCTGTTTGTGCCTGGGCAGATGGAGCGGGCTTGTCTAACCCCAGTAAAGCCCCAAATACATTTGTGAGTCTTTACAGTGTCCCGGGACCCCTTCTTGTTCTCCCTGACATGGACTGAGGCGGCTCTGCCCTGATATTTGCCCCCAAGATTCAATAGTCTGGCTGTGACGTTTAGTTTCCTCTGTGTGGAAATGCTCCGTTACCAGCCTTCGAAATGATTTCCCTTCCCAGGCCTGTCCGCTCTTTTCCCTGCTCTTGTATCCTGAGATCGGCAGCGCCTGCAGGGCCGTAGCCATTTGCTTCTTGTGCAATGGTGTTTCATTCCACACTGCGGGCTCCAGCCCTGTTCTCAGAGATGTCAGAGGGAACTTGTCACACAATGACTTCTGGTGTTTGCAAATCAGAAAGCAATGAGGAGGGAAGGGAGATGAATCCTGTTGTGCCTGATACTTACAACCGGGAACGGGGAATTTATTTCCTCTGTGAATCAAAGCAGAAACTGGCATCTTGCTCTCAAAGGTGTGTCTATACAGCATCCTTAAATTGGATTAAGCTAAGTAATTTGAGCTAAGCAAATCACATCACTTATTTCAATCTGATTTCTAAGTAAAGCCCTATTCCAAAGGTCCCTTAGCCCTCGTGGAATGAGGATAACAAGGACCTCGGAATAGTGTGCCTGTTATTTTGAAATAAGGGGTGTGTTAAAAAGACATGGAATAGCTCTTTGGGGATCCCAGAGGTAACCCAACCCAACATAGTGCTGCTGTCTAGAGGTTGCCTTCCTGAAGTGAGGGGGATTCAGCATGCCCCTGGAGCAGGCCTGCCACATCTTAGTCTCCCAAAAAGAGGAAGCTGGTGGAGGGGAAGGGTGCAACAAGGGGGAGGGAGGGAGACCACAGAAATGACGTCTAGGAATTTCACCCCTCAAAGGGCTATCTTCCTTTGGCAGTGAGAGACTAAAGAATACATCCAACACTCAGGGTGGATGAAAATTGGATTTGATTTTTTAATAAAAACTTTAAACTCAAGTGTTTATTTAACTTGGGCTTTTAAAGCAAGTTATTTTTTTAAAAAATAAGTAATTTCAAAATTTTAAAATTGTAACAATTGAGGGGGAAATATCGTTCCCCTGGGGTACAGAGCCCCCAGAAGGGTCCGAGGCCGGAGGTCAAATCAGTGAGGCAGGAGAGAAATCTAGAGGGAAAAACTTTATGATGCATGCATGCAGGCTGTCACACCAAGAGTGAAAGCAGCCCTGAGTTACAGGTTTTTGGATCCTTTATACAGAATGCTTAGACAGTTCAGTTGTGGATTGTTTTTCTTTAACATATCAAAGTCTCAGCAGAAGTACTCTGAGATGTTTCTGTTCACATCAGGAGTACTAGAAGTAAGTTTTACAGTACAAAGCCACATCAGAACTTGAGTGGAGAAGTCTACAAGGCAATCTGTGACAAAGATAAGGGTTTACATGACAAATTGTGACAGACTAGGAGTATCCATGAACTTGAGATAGGAGGCATTGTAAGGGTCTTGATTAGAGCTAATTTGATTTCTCTCTGTTACAGGAAGAGAGGCCTGGAAAACTTTTTAACCCTTACAGCAGTTTTCTTTTAGAGAGTTTTGATTTCCTACACAGTCCCCCCTTTAGACACAATTGGAGTTATTTGATTTCTCCCACACAATCCAAGGTAAATTATAAACATCTATACTCTAGTAAAATCATTTAAATTAAATGTACATAAATGAATATGCAAACAGTACATGGGTGCTGCAGAAGTTTTACACAAACACAAACCACTGAACTACTGGAAATCAATGACTAAGCACCTGGAACTGTTATCTGCACACAATTCTGTCATTTACAGACTCTGGGGGCACTCAGGGTATATCTAGACTACATGGCTCTGTCGCCAGAGCCATGTAGATTAGTTTACTAGACATACCCAAATGAAGCCGCGATTTAAATTATTGCGGCTTCATTTACATGAAAATGGCTGCCGCGCTGTGCAGGGGATCAGC